TGTTCTCTGCTGAGTACCATCTCTTCTTTCTGTATTATGTCTACGGAAGGCTAGTTGCCGCAGTCGCACCTATGGAAAACTGTGCCTGACTACGTTGTGACAGTTTTCCTCGACAGCTCGTACATGTCCGCTTGTTCAGAAGCAGTAGTAGTGACTGGTTGGGGCACGAGAGGGACTAACTGCTGTACGCTCGGCTAGTGAAATCTCAAACGTGCATCTTGTCCTCGGCACGGCTCATCGACTGCGGACGTCGGTCTTCAGCAGTATGTGTGTCAGGGCGGTGGACAGGTTCACGCGAGTCAGCTACAACGTCCGCTGCACCACGGTGCGATGTCGGCGACGGTCGAATATGAGTAAGAAGCTCTTCCAACAGCTTTTCGGTGCGTGACACGGGAGTGGGAGCTGTAGGTTGTGACGAAGGACGACTTGTCCCGAAAGGAAACGGTGGCCGAGGGCCTACCATTTTCCACATCCGAAATTGCAGATTCTCGCACAGCCTTTGAGTGTTCCCTCAACTGCATATCCGCCAAACGGTACGCCAAGGAATTTCACAGTCGGAGGCACTGCAGGAATAGACGAGCGCGACGGCCCAGGACGAGCCCTACCAAGCCCTAACAAGCCCAACTCCAGACTCGACTTTTTCTTCCTCAGAAGACACACTACAATCATCAGACTCATCCCTGCCATAAAACACTTGCCTGTTGCGACGATTGCCGTCGCGGTCTTCACGGTCGCTGTGGTCGTGGTCACGGTCGCTGTCGTCACGGTGGCGGCGGCTTACAGAGCGCTTGGACTTCTTCCGCTTCGCCTTCCGGACCTGGTGAAAGTCCTCGACATGCTCGTCCTCGTTGTGTTGGAAGTCCCGAGCCCTGTGACGACCACGCGGATCGTCGGTCCGGTGATGCTGATAGCCGCCCTGCCCCCGCCGCGACCTGGCGTACGAGCCTTTGTCCGCAGGTTGGTGGAACTGCGTAGCGTCGTCGAGCTGCGGCCAGTGGGCATGGCGAAAACCGTGTAGTAGCTGGTGTACATTGATGCGCTCAAAAGGGGTCAGGGAGTCGAGAAAGTGCGGGTCGAGGAGGTCTCCGAATTGAACATGTGGCACATGCCTGTCGCGGAAAAACAGTTCGGCAAACCTTCGACACGAGTGCCACGCTTTCACATCATCAACCCGAGAGGTCGAGCTAAAGGGGAACTTATTTGCACGCGTGTCAAAAGTACGCGAGCGAAAGACATGATCGCCATCCTGTTCCACATAATCCGGCATAGCGATGGAGATTCCCTCTCCAGCGGCGGTCCCCGAAGCTCCCGCCAGCGTCACGGAAAAAGTAGGCGATGGCGGACCTTCTGCACGCACCGAACCCATGGGCACACGACGAGAAGCGGGCGGCGCTGTCTCCGGGAACTCACCTTTCACCAGCCTAGAATGGCGAGCCATCAACGCTTGAGAGCGACGCTGTCTCTCCGCCATAGCCGCAGCCTCTGCCTCCTCTTCCGCCCGTTTGCGCTGCAGCTCCTTCTCGAGCTTGAGGTGGTGGGCCACTAAACGTTGTTCCCACATCGCATACTGGTCATGGCTCATAGTACCAATGTCAGCCTCCAGGATTTTTTCAGGCAGCGAAAATGATACAGGCAAAGTGGAGGGGGCACAACCTGGGGCAGCAGCATGAACAGTCGACTCCGAATATTCCGAAGAACGGTGGGCACCGTTGACTTCAGCGGAAACTCCAGCGGAAACTCCAGAAACGCTAGCCAAGTGTGCTCCCCGCGGCGGCAAAGCACCTACGCCATCAGCTCTAAAGCCAGTGACAGCCGCTCCAGCAGAATCCAAGTTCACCAACCTTCCAGCAGCTCCAGTCCTCGAAGGCAACAAAGTCCTATCAGCGCTCACAGCTCCTGTGGAAACTCCAGAAGCATCAGCAACTCCAAATCCAGAAGCCGGAACCCCAAAAGAAACACTTGCATCCACCGATTACGCCGGGTACCAACCCTCACATCACCTGTATCCGTAGACTGCGGAGCAGCAGCAGCCCGCACAGTCTCCGACATCAAAAGGTCGCCTCCCATACGCACGGCAGCTGCAGCAGACTCCACGGGCAACAAAGTGCCTGCATCCTCAGGAGCATTCAAAGCGGCATCCAAATGCCACAAATCGTCAGCGGCAGCAACAGCAGTCCGAGGGACAACAGGAGACATCCGATCGCGTTCGGCCCGTTCTGCGTCTTCTTGTTCCACCAGAGGTGCCCAAAATAAGCGAGTGGCCTCTTCGGAGAGGGATTCTTCCTGTTCTTCAGCTTGCATCGGATTCTCACACTCCATACCAGCAGGGTCACTAGGAGCGCTATCATAGTCGGCGGTAGGAATAGCAGAAGTACCCCCCATCGCAGAAGAGAGCAACCGCGCAAAAGCAACACGGAGATACCCACATGACAACATGCGGCCAGTGATAAAAGCTTGATGAGCCGGCAATTTGAGCGGAGTCAACCAAGTAGAAAAGGCATTCAAAATGTCCTTGCTCCATAACCATACGGACGTGGACGCCAGCACAAAAGAACCCGTATCGGACGGAGACACTAAAGCCCCCGACCAAAAAGTGCGCAACGCGGCCAACCGCTCAGGTACGAGGCGAGAGGGTGTGCGTTTGGTCACGCCCATCGGTTTTAGAGGTAGGTGGTGCGCTAGCTCGACAGCTTTCAAAGATAAAATTGTCCCAAAAAATACAGTCACATTGTCACGAAAAACAGACGGGAAGCGAAAGGGGTGTCGCACACCCAAATGGCGCACAGCAAGAGCTCGCTAACTTGCGGTGTGCGGAGTCAAATCCGACAGCACCACCGGATAATCAGCAGATGTCGGGCGAAATGCGGGTACAAAAGCGGTCTCGGCAGTGGATGAGGGAAGCATGCTGTCATCTCGCGCACGACCGCACAAAGCGAGTACCTGTGGCTGCCGTGAACAAGTTTGGTCTGCTACTGAAATGACCTCGTGCAACGAAGTCACAGAGAAGAGCGCGAGGAGGTTGACGAACTTACGAGAAGTCTCCTGCTACGCCTGAAACATCTCCGACGCGAGAATCCGTCGCTAGATCCCACTCACGTGCGCTCGCGGCAAAGGCATCGTAGACAGGCATCCGATCTCTGAGTGCCCGGGGCACTCAAAACAAGCGCTCGTAGTTGGTGAAACCTAAAATTGCAAGCAACAAGCAATCAGAAAAAGAGAAAACACCAAGCAACAACGGGAGCATAGCGCCGCGTCCAACGCTAGCTTACCCGTAGACTTGCCAGACGACGCCAGATATGAAGGAGCTCCAGCTGTTGGAAGCAGCTGGGTCCTTAGGTAAAGAAAGAGGTACGGTCGCGTGATGCCATGTCTCCACGATTGTGTAGAAATGAGATGTTGCTTGAATTCAGAGCGAGGAAGGTCTGGTTGAGGAGGGGATCCTCTTGTCAACCAGGGGGCACGCAGATAGCTGAGTCATGATGTGGTATGGTCCCTCAGAGGTATACCTCCCGGACAACCCACATCCTATTCTAGACCAAGATGTACCCTATCTAAACCCTACAGCAACACTCCTTAACAATGATATAATTGTCTTTCCGCACCGGTATCGGTGTTATCGCACCGGTGCGATATCAACGATATAATTCTGCTAAGGACGAAGTTTTGCGTGCTTCCGCAAGATACCGGTACCCTCTGGGCCACGTGTCGAACATGATGTAACGCGGTCGGTAGGTACCAATTGGGGCGCCATTTCATTGATGTACTTCGTACCGTCGTTGTGTGCGTAGTAGATTTTTATTTTTGTTTTTTCTACGGTAATTCGTACGTCGAACGCTCTCACTAACTCAACCAAGCACACCGCAGTGCACATTCCGCACCTCCAACCAACCAAACAAGAAGGAGTTCGTAAACGGTACTGCAATTGTATCGATATCATGCCCCTTGAGAAAGACAAAGACAGAGGGAAGCACCAGCCAACAAAAGAGGGGCTTTCGACCAACAAAGAGGCTGGAAGAAAAACGATACCCCGCCGTATATATAGCCGGATCTGTATCGACCTCGAGCAGTTGAGAAAGGACAAACACCTACGGATCGCCTTCCAAAAAAGGGCCTCCAACCGCCCTCCGCCCACGGCGCTCCGGCGGCCAACGGGAGCGACCGCCGCCGAGTTGACGGCTACAGTGATGTCGGCCGCCGCTGAGACCGCGCCGCTGGCGAGGTGCACACGAGGGCAGAGAGGCTGGTACCCGAGCGAAGCGCAGCACGAGATCTCCGAAGCGTCTAGAGAGATTAAGGCGGCCCAGCAGCAACTTCGTGGGGCCTCGAAGAACAGCGCCTTCGAGGCGACCCTGGAGGCGATGCTCAAGGCGGCGCGGAAGAAGCGCAGCATCGCGAGGTGGAGAGCACTGGATACGTTCTTCGAAGGCTATGCACGGCAGCTCGAAAAGAAGAGCCGCGAGGGGGATCAGGCGGGTTTCTACAGGCACCTGAAGATGATCGACGTCGAAGGCAAGAGGTCGTTCACCTCTCAGAACATCAAGGACGAGGACGGCAAGGTCCTTCGGTACCCCACGTTTATTCGCCAACGGTGGGCACGGTGGTTCCACAAGCTTCTCAACACCAAGTCGCCGACCATCGACCTGCATGCGGCTGACAAGGTCAAGCGGTGGCCCACGTGCGTGCCACTCGACGACATCCCATCTCTACTTGAGGTTGAGGAAGCGGTACGGGAAATGGCCAACAGAAAGGTCGTCGGGCCGGACGAACTACCGGCTTAGCTGATCAAGCTTTTCCTGGACGGGGATCAAGGTCTCCTCCGCGAGTTCCACGCCA